GACCAGGAAGGGTCTGGTGGGGTCTGCAGAGGCACAAACACAGTCCCCACAGACCAGGGGACAAAGGCACATACAAGCCTGTTTTGATTTAAGCAATCCTTCTATCTAAGCTTTTCCTCATCCTTCTGAGTTTAATTGGTGACTCGTTTTCACGTTCCCATGGAACCGTATATACTCAGGCATGGTAGCCTAATATCTTGTCTCCTGGTCTGTCTTTCCCACTAGACTAGACTATAACCTCTCATGAGGGCAGGGCAAGGCTGTGTCTGGTTCACCACTGAATCCCCAAGGGCTAGCCATGGGCTGGCACATGGTGGGTGCTTAGTGACTATTTATTGAATGAACAGAATACAGGTTTTATCTTAGGATCAGGAGTGGTTAAAGCCTGTTGGTGGAGAACATTCCTGGATTCAGTTTCAGGGAGCTGGTGATGCGGTGTGGGCTGGCACAGGTGCCAGATGGCACTGCACCTAGAGGTGCACAGTATCACCTGTTCCTTGCATCCTTCTTTTTGCCATAGGCCCAACATTGCCCCAAGCCAAGGGACCTGGGCTTATTGTTTAAACTTCCCTGGCTCTGGAGGCAGAGTGACCTCGGTACAAGATCAGCTTTAGCCCTTCCTAGCTGTGTGACCTCCGGCAAGTACTTCTCTCTCTAGGCCTAGATTTCCTCACCCGCAAAAAAGGGTGCAATAGGACATAACTTGCAAGATTTTTGAGAGCTTAAACGAGATCATATATGTAAAGAGACCAGCTCAGTACCACACATAGACATTTGTCAAATAGTTTTGTTTCCCCCATGCCTACACGGATGATTAGTTTCAGCCTTTTGGGATCTGTCTGGTGTCTGCTTTTCTTGACCTCTAGCATTTGGGACAAATATTTGGCCCCTAGGCGATGTCCCCTGCTGCCCAGGAACCACTCAGACCTCCTGAGTGGTGGGTGAAAGTGGTATAAGTCACATTCATCATCAGCCTTAGGGGCAGGAATAGTGTAGACCAAGTTAGTACAGCATTGCTAGAGTTAGCAAACGAAAGGATAGGACACCCACTTAGCTGTGAGTTTCAGATAAGCAATGAATAATTTGATTGAATATATATTTGAGATATACTTTCACTAAAAATTATTTGTTTACCTGAAATTCACATTTAACTGGGTAGCCTGTATATTATCTGGCAACCTGAGGCCAAACCCACTCTGTTAGATTCTCCAAGAGCAAAGTGGTTTGTCCAGGCTCCTCCCCCTTGTAGGAAGCAGCCAAGCTAGGATATGAACCTGCGTGTGCCTGATTCTAGGTCTCAAGCTCCTTCCCTTACATACAACCCATACACGTGGTCCGTGTGGTCCCTCCACCCTGACGGACCTTTCCTACGCCCATGTCTTGCCTACGCTGGGGGATCCAGGTAGGACCCAGGCCAAGCCACAGTAAGGGCTCAGAAAATGCACCTGAAATGTGTTTCCTTCAGTAGAAAAAACAGAGCCATCATGTGCCAGAGACTATTCTAGGCCCTGGGACACAGCAGTGAAGACAAATGTAAAATTAATGAATTAAAGAATCCCCCCTGTTGAGCTTGCCTCCTTGTTGTCAGGAGACAATAAAATAAAAGCATGTAGTAAGTTAGATGATGATAAATCCTAAAGAAAAAAAGGCAGAAAAGGGGGGTTGGGAATGCCAGGGGTAGGGCGATTGTCAATTAAAAGAGGTATTGCCACACCCCCACCAGAATGACAAAAATGAAACATACAGACAATACACATGCTGGTGAGACACGAAGCCACGGGAACTCCCGTGCCCTGCGGGTGGGAGCACATGGTCTCCGCCGTGGAGAACTGTCAGCATCCCCTGGAGCTGAGCCTACGCTTGCCCCAACACATAGCAATTTCTCTCCAGCCACCCAACTAACAAGTGTGCACATTTATTCACCAAAAGGCATGGACTAGACATACTGGACTGTTCATAGCAGCACGATGCATGATAGCTGGAAACAACCCAATGTCCCTCAGAAGCGGAACAGATACAGAAATTGTAGGATATTCACACCATGGGAAACCATGCAGCACTGAGATGAATGAAGCAATACTGCTTGCAATGGTGCCCATGAATCTCGCCCACATGATGTTGCGTGAAAGGCAGACACCAGGCTAACATATGAGTCCATTCATAGAAGTCCAACAGCAAGGCTGTCCCATCTGTGGGTGAAGGCAGAACCCTGGTTACCGGGTGCCGAGGGGAGAGCGGACCGAGAAGGGCACAAGAGGGGCTTCTGGGCGCTGGTCACGTTCTGTTTCTTGGTCTGGGCCCAGTTAATGGCTAGGCTGCGCATTTGAAAGTGTATTAAGCTGGTGCTATGATGTATGCCCTTCCTCCATCTATGTTTAACAACATGCTCTAAAGGCGAGGTGGTTGGGCCCCACTGAAAAGGCCCTCTTCTTGCAGGAGCCAGAGATAAGAGTGAGACCGACAAGAGGGAACTGTATGAGAGCAACAAGCGGTTCTTGGGGCCCTACAACCCTGCCAGCCCATGCCAGAACATTCTGCGTGTCATCGCGGTACTGCTGGCTGCCCCCTGCCCTGGGCCTTCCCGGGGATGCGGGAGAAGGGCAGCGCCCATGCCCAATGCCTTCCCCACCCCTCCCATCTTCCCAGGTTCAAGTCCCCTTTACAGGAAGCCTGCCCCAACCACGTGGGCCGTGCTGAGTGCCCCGACCCCTCTGGCCTGTGCCACAGCATATGGGCCACGACACCCCTGTTTTGCAGCTCCTCCCTGCTGACCTCTGCCTGTCTGGCGCATTTGTGCATCTGTGTACAGCTCATTCGGGGTCTGTCCGTGTGTGCCTGCATCTCTGCGCCTCTGTTTCAGGAGTTCGGAGACTTCCTGGGGCCCCAGCAGGTGAAGGACCTGTTGCTAGCCGCCCTGGAAGGGCTGACAGGCGGCTCGGAGGCCGAGGCTCAGGGGAGAGACTCGGGGGAGATGATGCAGCTGGCCTCGGAGGTGACGCTCAGCTCAGTGCTGGAGTGGTACCGGCACAGGGCGCTGGAGGTGGTAAGGCCCTGGGAGCAGGGGCTGGGCGGGGAGACCCCTATAGGGCCCGCTCATCCCTCAGGCAGAGCAGGGTGGTGGTGGCTGAGTTCAAGGTGCTCCCAACTTGGAGCGAGAAAAAAACTCACCCATGCGGTGTGGGGTGGAGGTGGGCAGTGAAGACAAAGGGGCTCACGTTCAGGGAAGGAGCAGGCACCTGCCCTCCCCATTTCTCTCCTGTGTGCCCCCTCTTTCCTGTCGCTCTATCCTATCACTCCTCTCCTCCTCCATCTCCCTGCCCCCACGCCTGCCCTTGCTTCCCATGGGCCTCCACCTGCTCACGGCGCCCGCCCGCCGCTGTGCTCCAGATCCCGGAAATCACGCAGGCCATCTACGTGCAGCTGAGCCACATCCAGGAGCCTCGGGCCCGCGAGGTGGCCCTGCTGCCCATCTCTCTCCTGGCCAGCTCGTTTATGACCGAGGTCGTCGTGGCCCTGCTCATGTGCCCCCTCCCACTGGACAGGTACCAAGTAAGGGGGGCTTGTCGGCCGCTACATCTCAGAGGGTCAAAGCAGCTCTCCCCCCTCCCCACCCCCGCGGTCTGGGACTCTCCTTCTACCCAGAGGAGCCCCTTGCCCTTCCAGACGGCCCTCCTCTGTGATCTGCGGTGCTGTGACAACCAGTAAGCACTCCCAAGCACTGCTAGCTGTCTGTGCTCAGCACTAATAGTGCAATAACCCCATTCTACAGATCAGGAAACTAAGGCTCAGGGGAAGTTGGTTTTTAAAAAAATATTTTTATTGATTTCAGAAAAGAAGGGAGAGAGAGAGAGAGAGAGGGAGGAACTTCACTGATGAGAGAGAATCATTGATCAGCTGCCTCCTGCATACCGCCTACTGGGGATTGAGCCCATAAACCAGCCATATGCCCTGACTGGGAATCGAACCATGACCTCCTGGTTCAGAGGTCGACGCTCAACCACCGAGACATGCCAGCCAGGCAGGAAGTTTGTGAGCCAGCAATAGCATGAGGACCTAAACTCAGACCTGACCAACTCCAAGCCCAGAGCTGTAATGACGCCATAGAAAGGAAGCCGGGACACAGTCCTGACTCAGCCGTCAGCTGCTGTGTGGGCTTGGCACCCTGCTTGTCCTCTCTGGGCTTAGTTTCCCCGCACAGGCAAAAGGAGGGAGTAATCCCTGAATTCCCACTCCAGACGAGTGGTCGTGACAAGCAATGCAGCCAGCTGTGCTGAGTTCCTGCAGGAGGACGCACAGGCTCTCAGCCTCCAGGGAGCAGGTGGCCTGATGGGCAGAGAGGCCTGAGGTGGCCTGATGGGGCCAGATGTGAGCTTGTAAGCAGGAGATACCAGTCTGACTGCTCCAGCCGCTCAGCCCAGGAAATGCTCCCACACTTGGAGTGGCTACAACAAGGCAGAGTGTGTGGTCCATCTCTTAAGATGTTGGGCCGACAATGAATGTGAAAGAACTGTGCGGAGCTATGCAAACGGGGCGTGCTTCTAAGTAAGAGTTGGTGTCATTCATAGAAACCGAAGACATGGGTGGTGCGGGCTGCGCGACACGGGTCCGTTCTCCCGCCTGCAGGAAGCGTACCCTTCCGACGGCACTGCCCGCCAGAGGGTTTCTTCTCAGAGCCACGAAACGTTCGGACTCACCAGGCCGCTGGGGCCACACCTGACATAGAGACGCTCAGGATATAGGAGGGGCAGTGTCAGGGGCTCCTCTTTGCAGGAAACCATGCAGCAGCCCATGAAGCCACCAGCCAGAGCTGGAACAACATTGAAGGAGGCCCTGGCTCTCAGGTGCCAGCTTGCACTTGTGTGAGCCCGAGAGTGAGGGACTCCTTAAATTTTGTGCCCCAGACGCTTCACTTTCCTACTTTACTCTTGGCCTTGGGTCCAAGAGTGGGTCTCTTGGGCCTCTCGGGTGAAAGGTGCAGGAGCCACCCTGGCTTAAATGTCTCTGGCCTCACAGGAACTAGTATTTCTTACAACAAATAACTCATAGACTTTGCTTCCAGGGTCCCCACAGGGACAAATCCAGTCGCAAGAGTCCCTGCGCCCCAGGAAGCTCAACGCTATGGCGTCCCCGTCGGGTCGGTTCTTACAGTGAATTTACAGTTCCTCCCAGCCCAGATGCAATTTACCAACTGGGTCATTTTTACCATAAGCAGTGGTGCCTAGCAACATGGTTGACATGCTGTGTTTATCGGGTTTCCAGGGGAACAGAGCTGGAAAGTTAACGCAGAGGCACTGGCCTATCAATGCTTTCTAGTCCCCAGGATAGGTGTGTCCGCAGGCTGTGCCGCCTGCACAGATGTCCTTCTCCTGCCTGGTGGACGGCCTTCTAAGGGACAGGGGTGGGGGCTCCTTGATGTTATGTGGCAAATGCAGGCTCCAGGCCCCAAAGGGCATAGGCTTTGGAGACATCAGACCTGGTCACTTCTTGACAATATAGCTCATTAGCTGTGGAGTCTTGGACTGGCGATTTCGCCTCTCTGAGCCTCAACTCTGCATCTGTGAAATGGGAATAACAACCCACCCTGAGGTCATTGTGAGAATTCAGTGACTTTGAATGGCTTAATATCTAGTTCACACCTGTAGCCCCAGAAATTTGCTTAGTGCCTGGCAGACAGCAGACGCTCAATATTTGCTGGAGTAATAACTTGTATGTAAAGCACCTGGCATAATATCTAGGAAATTGGGTTTTCTATCACTATTGGCCCCTGCTTCCCAGGGAGTGTTTTCTGGGCTGTTCCAGAAATTTGCTGGCATGCTCATGGATACCACTGGAAGGCCAGGTGGGCGCCCTGCCCTGGTCCTCACTAAATACCCCACCCCTGACCTCCCAGCAATGGAGCAGAGATGTGGAGGCAGCTGATACTGGGCAAGCCCAGCTGTGAAGTCCGAGACCTCCTGGACCTGCTCCTGACCAGCCTGAAGGAGAAGCCTGTCACCAAGAAGGGCAGGGCCTCCATCGTGCCCCTAGCGGTGAGACCTGCCTGCCTGCCCCTCTGCCCCTGCCCCTCCCGCCCCTGCTGGGCTTAACACACCCGGCTTCCCGTGCCCAGCTCTGCTAGCAGCTAGGTGTGTGGCCTTGGGCAAGCCTCTGCCTCTGGGCTCTTGTGTGGCCCACTGATGACCATGGCACTGCCACCACAGGCCCATCAGCATCCCGGGGTAGTGAACAGGAAATGACCGGGGATGGCAGACCTGCGTCTGAGAACCGGCTTTGCTATGTTACTTTCGTGTGGCCTGAGCGAGTCACTGTACCTCTCTGAGGCTCAGTCTCTGCATCTGTAAGTGGAAAGGAGAGTATGTGTCTCGCGGGGTGGTTGTGAAGACTAACTCATTCCTCACTCGGTGACACAAAACATTTACGCTCTCCTTGCTGCCAGGCTCAGAGCGCAGCCCGAGGACACAGAGGGAACGGGCTCTGACCGCAGGAAGGTCGCTGCCTCTCCCACTGCTGCCCGGGTCTAAGGCAGCGGGGGAATACCCCTGCTCACTCCCTGCTCCCACTCCTGCCCCTGCAATCTGCACTGCAGCCAATAGGTCTCTGAGAAATGCGCAGCTGCTCTTCCCAACCTCCTCAATGGCCTCCCATTGCCCTGGAGAGTAACACAGTGCTCCTACCCGTGCTGCAGGCCCCACACCCCTCACGGGCCTCACCACACTCCATGCTCCTCTTGCTTGCTCCAGCCTCATGGTTTTGACCAGAATGTCATATGTGCTATGCTGTCTTCTGTCACAGGGCCTTTGCACATGTTGTTTCCTCTGCCTAGACTACTCTCCACCAAGTTAACGTCTATTCATTCCCTCAGCTCTCAGCTCAAGCATCACCTCCTCAGGGCAGCCCTCCCCGATCTCCCTGACATGAGGAAATCTGTGCATATTATACTTTGCATCACATACTTTATCTTGGGAGAATTTACCCCAGTTGTGATTTGACAGCAGTTGGAGGGGGTCATTCGATTAATCTGTGAGGTGCATGAAGATGAATAACAGCCTGTTTTGCTCACCATGATATCTCCAATGTCTAACATACGCCTGGCACATAGTAGACATTAAAAATGTTTGAACTGATATAGTCAACAAATATTTATTGAGCACCTACTATGTGCCATGCACACTCATAAGCTCTGGGATACAGCTGAGAGCAAGACATTCTGATGGAGGAAAGCAAACAAAGACATGGGGAATGGAGGAGTGGGTGGCATTATCCTTTGCAGAGGAAGATACTCCCACTCAGCAGTACAGTCCACGTCTTGCCCAAGGTCACACAGCCGGGAAGCAGTGGTGCCAGGACTCACACCCAGACCTCCTACCTCCAACCCTGTGCTTCCCCCCTGATCTCTCTGCCGCTCCCCCCAGCACGGAGTTCTGTGAACAAGCACCAGCACCCATGCCTTCTCTGCCTGGGGCATGTATCCGCTCCTCCTTCCGTCAGTGTGTGCTGGCCTCTTCTTCAGTCAGTCATTCATGCTGCTTGTTCACCAGCATGGTAGAGATCGCCTGGACTAATTTAAAATATATGTATTTTAATTGATTTTTTTTTGTTAGAGAGAGAGAGAGGAAGGGAGAGGAGAGAAAGATAGAAACATCGACTGGCTGCCTCCTGCTAGCCCCCTACTGGGGCTCGAGCCTGCATGTGCCCTGACGGGGAATCGAACGGGTGACCTCTTGGTGTATGGGTCGATGTCCAACCACTGGGCCACACCGGCCGGGCTGGACTAATTTTTATATTGTGGTATTGATAAACCATTTGAGCAAGATCAAGCCAAGAGCAGAGCCCTGTGGCACATCACTAGCGACTTTTCTTACACCACAGACTGTTTTGTCTAAATATAGTCATTGGTTTTTGGGCTGCTGAAAAGTGTCAAGGCTTTGAGCCCAGGAGGCTTGTCTTAGCTCTGCCACTGCCTGTCTATATAACCTTGGTCAGTCACTTCCCCCTCTTTATCCTCCATATTTGCATCTGTAAAATGGGTAGTAATAACTCCTGCCCGACTATCTTACCTGTTAAGAGAGAGGTTGTGTATGTGAAGGGGTTTCTTAAGCCGTGAATTACAAATAAGTGCCACTTATTGTTCTCATCCAGCCCACATTATGTCTTTTATTTCCATGGGAACAAGCCATGGGTTTGGTGGCACAGATTTCAACCATTTCTTTAGAAAGCATTCTCCCTTCTCCTCCACTCAATTCCCACCACACCTGTGAGCTGGCTGGAAGAGGACCAGTAGCCTCACTTTATGGAGGATGATTCTGAGGCCTGAAGAGGGACAGGGAGTGGTGGAACCAGAATGAGCCATCAGGTCTCATGACCACAGCCCATCACTGCCCCGTCCCACCACACATGGTCCTGCAAGTTAGAGAGGACTTGATGGGCTGAATGGAGGGGTGGGGCCAATGTGAGGGGTGGGGCCGAGTGTGAGCAGTGGGCCCAGGCCAGGACCAGAGAGGACTGGTACGTGAAGTTGGGAGGTGAGTGCAAGGTGGGTCCTTGGGAACCTGGTGGGCCAAACGCCAACAAAGCCGGGTTCCCGGGACTTGGGAGCGCTGGTGTGGGGGCAGGAGGGCGAGGCAGGTGGGTTTGGAGTAGAGAGTCCAGGACTGGTCCTCCCTGGCTCTGCTCAAGGCTGGCGCTTGTTTGGCTGCTGGCTATATGGGGAGACAGCGGGGCAGTTAAGGGCCCAAAGTAGAGTCAGCTGGTGCCTCTCTTTGTGCCTGTTACAAAGAGGAAGAGGCAGGGCAGCTACAGCCTTATCTCAAACCCTGGGCTCACGACCCAGCTCTGCCCGCAGGGGGTGACCTTGGGCAAGTGCCATCCCCCATCTAGCTTGTCTCCTCACTGACACAGTGCCGTGGACACTCCACCTCCCAGAGATGGGGTGGGATCCCTCCACCGGGATCCTCCAGGGGGTGTGAACAGCAAGAGGCAGGTTCTTGTTGTTGCTCTGGTGCAGGGCTCACCCAGAGAGCTGGGAGCCGGGTGGGTCATGGAGGGGATCTGGGTTTTCCCAGGCTGGGCCAGCGTAGAGCAAAGATCCAGGGGTGACCCAGAGAGGCGGTGCATCCCCTGCCAGGGATGCCGAGGCAATGGGCAGGACGTCCCACCAGCCTCCCCTCTGCCCTCAGGCAGCCAGCGGCCTGTGTGAGCTCCTGTCGGTGAACAGCTGCCTGGGCCGCGTGAGGCGCCTCTACCCCCAGCTGCTCCTGGCGCTGCTCATTCAGGTCCATTACCACATCGGCCTCAACCTACCTCGCCGCCTGCCTTCCCAGCCTGACCGCAAGGACGCCAAGAAGGACGCACAGCCCTCCGTCTTCGAACCCGTGCGGTATGCCCCTGCTGTGTCCGGCTCGGGGAGGGCCACGCAGCAAGGGCCCTTCTGAAGGCCTTGAGGGCGCCGAGCAATAGGAATTAGCTGTGGGATAGGAGAGAAAACAGAAGCACACTTCTGTGAACGCCAACAAGGTGTCCAGCACCTGTCTGTGCGTCAGACTCTGCTCCGTGCTGGGCCGCAGGAGAAACGGCCCCCGCCCCCCCTCCCCCCCGGGGCTCACCGTGCCATTCTCCTCTCTCCCCAGGGGTATTACCTGTATTAGGTTTGAATCCAAGACCCAACCATCGGATTTTAAATTATTAATCAGGATAGGTAATATATGCGCATAGTAAAAATCTCCGAAGACATTAACAGGGAGCGTCCTTCCCTCCCCTTACCCAGTTACCCTCCCCAGGAGGACAGAGTTCTTCCTTGCCCTCCCAGGGGTGTGTGTGCAGAGATAAGCTCATAGGTTTATTTCTCTATTTTTACACCAATGGGGCTGTGAACCTCACACAGGTGTACATTTCTGCTTTTAGCATATGCTATATATTGGAGATCATTACATGTACAGCTGTTCATTTTTTAAAAATATAATTTTTTTATTGGTTTCAGAGAGGAAGGGAGAGGGAGAGATAGAAACATCAATGATGAGAGAGCATCATTGATCAGCTGCATCCTGCACGCCCCCTACTGGGGATTGAGCTACAACCCAGGCATGTGCCCTTGATCAGAGTCGAACCCAGGTCAACCCTCTAGCCACTGAGCCAAACCGGCAAGGACACTGCTCATTATTATTAACAACTACATAATATTCCTGTGTAAGAAATTTCAATGTACCACAATTTATTTCACCAGGGTCCTCTTTTTTTGTTTAATTTTTAAAATTGATTTCAGTGAGGAAGGTAGAGGTAGAGAGAGATGGAAACATCAACGATGAGAGAGAATCATTGATTGGCTGCCTCCTGCATCCCCCACCCCCCTTTACTGGGGACCGAGCCTGTAACCTGGGCATGTGCCCTGACTAGGAATTGAACTGTGACCTCTTGGTTCATAGGTCGACGCTCCACCACTGAGCCACACTGCCTGGGCAGGGTCCTCTTGATTTAGGCCCATTGCAACTGCAGACAATGCTGCAGCAGTTTGCTTGTTCACATGTCTGTGTGCACACATGCAGCTGTCTCTGCAGGAGGAGCTCCTGGCAGGGAATGGCTGCACCAGAGGGAACTCCTGGCAGGGAATGGCTGTAGCAGAGGGTTCCTGCGTCTAAATGTTAAGGTGGAGCAGGAATATGTGGGGGAAAGAGTTCTGGGCTGTGCAGTGATGAAAGCAGAATTGGAGTGCACCCTAAGACACCAGATTTGCCAAGCTGCTGCCCACAGAGGCACTGCCTCCAGCAGTGTGCGAGTGTCTATGTCCTCCCACTTTGCCAGCACAGTGTAGTAGAAAACATTTTCATCTTTGCCAATCTGAAAGCTGGAAAAAGTGGCATTGTGCTGTAATTATAGTTTGCAGGTGGCTCATTCTGTTTTAGTTAAAGGTGCTAATGCTTAAACTGGAAGATATAACCTTCCTTCTCCAACAAAAATGTATAAATCTCAGCTTAGCCATTCAGCCAGTGCTGGGAGTTTCGGGGGTGAGGGAGGAGGGTGGATGGGAGAGTTGGGAGGGTGAGTCCTAGGCTCTTAAGGTGGACAACATCTGGGGCCTGCCTGCCTCTGTCCCTTCGTGTGTGTGTGTGTGTGTGTGTGTGTGTGACTTTACACTCTGGGGGCATTGCTGGTGGGGCTGTCACTGAGCGCAAGTTTCAAAGCTTTAGCACAGAGGTTGCATGATTCTGAATGCCCTGGGTTCAGAAGCTTGAGTTTTCACACTGGACTAATATTCATTACAAAACCAAACACGTGAAAATTGAGCCAATTACCTGAGTTCCAAAATACTTGATGCTTCGTCTTGAATCATGGGAACCACCATCTCCCAGTACCATTTGAGGTGTGTCCACACAACTGCATCATAAACTCTCTTTTTTTTGTAATCCTCACCAGAGGCTATTTTGTCCATTGATTTCTAGAGAGAATGAAAGGGAGGGAGGAGGGGCAGAGAGTGAGAGAAACGTCAGTGATGCGAGAAAGACACATCGATTGGTTGCCTCCTGAAACACCCTGGCCCCGGGCTGGAGAACTGCAACCGAGGTACATGCCCTTGACCAGCAATCCAACCCGTGACCCTCCATTATGTGGGCTGATGCTCTAACCACTGACCAAACCAGCCAGGGCACATCATAAACTCTTAAAGCAAGGGTTTGGGTTTCTGGAAAACACTGTTCAAATGTACTTTATTCCACACATTGTCATTTTTTAATTTTAATAAAGGTTTATACACACATACACACATGTATATACATACACACACATACATACACATACTAGTACATATACATATACATATACATATACGCACATGCACACTATGTATCTGTGGGCACTGGTGCTGTGCTGGGCGCACAGTAGGACAACTCCCTGGCAGTGGCCTCCAAGCTCACCCAGGGGCTTCAAGATCAGAGGTCGGGGCCCAGCCTGGTCAGTCACAGGTTGTACGAGCTCCCCAGGTCCTGTTGTGCATCTAGGTTTGGGACTCACTACTTAAGTGTCCCAATCAGATGAAGGGCTCATGGTTGGACAGGAGACTGTGTCCAAATGAGCAGACAGGACTGTCCCACAGAGCACCACCCAGCCATGGGCGTGATGGGGTGGAGGGCAAGCGTGAGGCCGGGGCCGGGACGCAGGGAGCCCCAGCCCCAACCTCTCCTCCCACTGATGAGGCCCCGGGGGAAAGGGAGGGCAAAGCACCAGCTCAAAGGGAGGGAAGCCAAAACCGGTTTGGCTCAGTGGATAGAGCGTTGTCCTGCGGACTGGAAGGTCCCAGGTTTGATTCCAGTCAAGGGCATGTACCTGGGTTGCGGGCACATCCCCAGTAGGAGCCGTGCAGGAGGCAGCTGATCGATGTTTCTATCTCTCTCCCTTCCACTCTGTAAAAAATCAATAGAATATATTTTTTTTTAAAAAAGGGAGGGAAGTTTTGCTTCTGTGTTCTCTTGCTCTCAAAGCTAATGATTGTTTGTACAAAAGCCACTCTTTGTGGATACGCTGGGCACACTCCCAACAAGTAGCCTGGCAGAGAGAAGCTCCTCTGGCTACAATGGGAGCTGCCCGTGGAAGAGGCCTGGGCGGAGGGAGGCCCAGCCTGCAGGGAGCGGGGCGCCATGAGGTCTCAGGCCCCTTGTCTTGGCAGCTGGGTGGTCAAAGTGGTGAAAACCCTGCTGCTGAAGATGGGCTGCTCATACGAGGCCACCTTTCTGGATGACCAGGGCGGCTGGGAGCTCATGGGGCAGGAGGAGAACCACCACCGAGGCGTGTCCCTGCTGGCCAGGTGAGGCCAGGGCCCGGGCAGGGGTCGGAGGGAGGGGAGAGACTGCGGCTTCTTCAGACAGACAGACAGACAGGTGTGGGATTGTGTCTCTCTGGCAAACCATCCCCTCAGTCCACCAGCCCTTCTCTAAACCAGGAGAGCACCGTCTGCCTAGCGGGTAGATGGCACAGAGGTGAGGGACGGCACACGCTCTGCGGAGGCAACGTGGCTGCCACAGGGCCTGGCATCGCAGGGCACTGAGGGTTGATGAGGCCCCTCGTCTCACTGCGCTGTGATTAGCTCCCACACGAATGCAGGAAGGATGGGGTCGTCAGGTAGTTCCAAGTGTGGCCTGGGAGTTGGTTTGCCTGCGTCTGAACCCCCTTTGCCATTTCCCAGCTGTGACCCGGGCAAGTCACGTCCCTGTCTGTGTCTCAGTTTTCCCTCCATTAGTGTGGAAATAATAACAGGACCCACAGCAAGATTTGGGGGGAGGATTAAATAAAGTACTCGGAAGAACACCTGGCATGTGGTAAGAGCTCAACACAGGTTAGCTTTCACTATCCTCCTGCTGACTGGGGGAGTGGGGGGCAGGAATGACTAATGCAGAGGAGGATGCCAGAGAGGGACAGTATGTACCCAAAGTCACACAGCCAGGAAGTGGCAGAGCCGGGAAACGACCTGCTGACCCCGCCCAGGGCTCTTCCCTGCCACCACACACAGCCTCCCCTGGGGTCAGGAGAGGGCCCCTTGATGTCAATGATGTGACCCCTGTGAGAACAGCCTGTCCCTCAACCCTGCACCAAGTGCCCAGGATGGTGCTCTCCCTGGGTCTCAGGACACAACACATTAACTGAACACCTAATATGCTCAAGTCAGCATGCAAAGGGCTGTGTGTATGTGGGTTATTCCGTTTAATTCTCACCATGGCTGATGACATAGCACTATTATTATCCCAGTGCTACCCAGCAGGAAACCGAGTCACAGAGAAGGTAAGTGACCTGCTAAAGCCACACAGCTAGTGGTGGGGCCAGGATTTGAACCCAGGCTGCCTCACTCCAGACTCTGCAGCTGCCACGCTCTGACTCACTGGTGAATGGAGCGTAGCGCAGGGGTCCTCCGACTTGAGTGAGCCACACAGTCATTCACAGGGCTTGTTGCAATGCTGATTGCTGGGCCCAGCTCCCGGAGTTTCCAGTTCTGCCCATTTGGGGCGGGGCCTGAGAATGTGCATTTCCAGGGATGCTGACACTGCTGATCCAGGGGCCACACTTTGAGAACCACTGACTTGGTACAATAAACAAGACAGCTGGAGTGGAGAGCCCGGGGTTGGGGCTCCAGCCCTGCCACGTCCCCAGCGCTGTGACCCTGGGCCTCTGTCTCCTTATCTGTGAAAATGGGGATATAATGGTGATCTGCCTCGAAGCTTCGGGGTGAGGATCAGATGCAGCCACATGGGAACGCGTCGGGCTGCTGCCTGGGCTCAGTGGGCGGCCCTCGCACGCTCTCCTGCGGTGTCCTCCTGAACTGTCCTGTGCAGTCGGGAGTCCTGAGCCTGTCTGTCTGACTGATTTGCCCTGTGCTCTTGGGCAAGTCACTTCCCCACTCGAAGCCTCAGTTTCCTCACCTGCAAATCAAAGCAGTTAACCTAGATGGCCTCTGAGATGCTGTCCAGGTGGGGAATCTTGGGAGCACAGAACCCAGGTGACCTGGTCTTGTCCATAGTTTTAAGGGTCATGGCCAGACCCCCACCAGCCGGGCTCCCTGGAGCTGGAGAGCCTGAGGGACTGCCCCTCTGCCCCCCACCCCCAGGGCCATGGTGCAGTACTCCTGCCAGGAGCGGTGCCGCATCCTCTACCTGCTCATCCCGCTCCTGGAGCGTGGCGATGAGAAGCACAAGATCACGGCCACCGCCTTCTTCGTGGAGGTACCAACCGGGCACTGGGTGCCGGTAGGGGCTGCTCCCAGGCCTCCCCCGAGCCTAGGCCTCAGGTCACATTATTGGTCTTTTCTCCTGTGCAAACTGTGCTTAACCGTTTATAGTTTTGTGTGAGCATGATTTCTCTTGAATATGATGAGCTCCCTCTTCCCTCCCTCCTCACCTCCTCTCTCCACTCCTTCACCCATTCCACTCTGCTCAGACCCCTTCGTGCCCCAGGCAACCACCATCCTTTGCTGGGCATGTCTGTGCGCCAGGCACCAGATTGGAGATGCAAACACACATTTGACTCTGCCCTTCTCTCAGTGCATTCTTGGTGCCTGGGCACACGGGGAGCAATGGCCACCCTCCCTCAGCTCTTCCAGATGGAGCAGGTGCGGCGGATCCCCGAGGAATACTCCTTGGGGCGGATGGCGGAAGGCCTGAACCACCAAAACCCCATCATGAAGGTGCTGTCCATCCGAGGCCTGGTCATCCTGGCCCGCAAGACTGAGAAGGTGAGCCGAGGGCAGCGGAGAGCCCGGCCCAGCCCGGCTCAGGGCGGGAGGGAGGATGGAGCTGGCCGCCGTCCGCTCTCGGGTGCCAGCACTGGAATCAGAGCCCATTTCTGTCCTGCCCATCAGTGAAACGGATAGCTCTTAATAATTCCCTGAATGCTTTATTCTTCTGAAACAGTTTCTAATCAGACTGTTCACAACGATCTTCAAGGCAGTGTGTGTAAGAAGGGCCGGGCATGGCAATAACTACTCCAGTTTTACGGATTAGGAAACCAAGGCCAGGATTGCTGGGGAATTCTTAGCATTTTTTAAAGTGCTTTGTTTTTTCCTACCGCTCGAGGTTGCAGCTCAGGATGGATGTAGCGGGAGGAAGTGACAGAATGTAGATTCACAAAACAAACTAACAACACAAGGAAGCAGGCAGACAGCAAAGGGCCCCAGGCGTCCAGGCCAGGAAGGAGCCAGCAAGGCCAAGGGGGCTTTGGGGAGAGCAGAGCGTGAGTGAGGCCATCCAGGTGGGTGGCTGGCATAGCAAAGCCTGGAAGCAGGACTTGTTCCACCAAGTTCTTCTCCGTGAATCCGGGGCTGGGTCTCCTACCCGTTAGCCCAGGTAGGAGCCCCATCCCAAAGCTCCTGCCCCACAGACCGCCAAGGTGCAGGCCCTGCTGCCCTCCATGGTGAAGGGCCTGAAGAGCGTGGATGGGCTGCTGGTGATGGAGGCGGGCCACAACCTCAAGACCATCTTCAAGGGGCAGGACCGGAAGCTGAATGACAGCTCGGTCTATGTGGAGTTGCTGCAGATCCTGCTGCCACACTTCAGTGACGTAAGGAACCCCACGGGGGTGGGTGGTGGGTGGTGGGAGGGGTGGGGGTCGGCATATAGAGGGCAGTTCTTTACTACCCTGGGGGCTGCCATACCCCATGGCCCGCAGGACCTGGGCAGGGCCAAGTCATTCCAACACGTCTTTTTGCAATAGGTGTGCATAGAGGAAGGTCCTTTTCTAATTGGCTCTCATAGAGGGCGTTCTCCCCAGAGACTTGCTTCATTGCTGTTGTGCACCTACAGGGGGTGTGTTTTTTTAATAAAATAAATACTCTGTCATCATTTTATTCTTTTTGTAAAAAAATATATTTTCATTGATCTCAGAGAGGAAGGAAGAGGGAGAGAGAGATAGAAACATCCACGAGGAGAGAGAATCATGGATCTGCTGCCTCCTGCAAGTCCCCCACTGGGGATCGAGCCCACAAGCCGGGCATGTGCCCTTGACCGGAATCGAACCCGGGACCCTTCAGTTCACAGGCTGACGCTCTATCCACTGAGCCAAACCGGCTAGGGCCAGGGGTGCGTTTTTATCGGTTCTGGCTGAGGGGGGCATTTTTCTACTTGGCACTTAGGCACCTGGTTGGTGCGTGGGAGTCCTGGCTGGGAGGAGCCAGTGGAGCTCCGGATCTAGGCTCCGGGGAGGGAGAGGCCAGCCCCACCGGGCGGCCTCTGCTGGTCTCCGTCTCCTGCGCCTGGAGGGCCACTCGGAATGAGTGGAAGGAAGGTTGGGTGCCTCCATGTGGGGCTCAGAGGGCCAGGCAGCCTCCTGGAGGAGGGGATGCGCCTGAGCCTCCGCGTCTGTCCCAGGCACGAGAGGATGTGCGCTCCTTCTGCATCAACCTGTACGGCAAGGTGGTCCAGAAGCTGCGGTCACCCTGCACGCCGGCCATGGAGCAGCAGCTGGTCAGCACCTTGGTGCCCCTGCTGCTGACCATGCAAGAGGGCAACACCAAGGTGGGCCAGGTGAGTGCACAGGCACTGGGCCCTGCGGGCGCGTCTCCCTCTGAGGAAACGGATCCAGAATCACCAACCATCTACCGCGGGGAGTCCCTTTTCCAAATGCACCCATGCCAGGATTCCTCTTCCAAACAACCAGCCTGCTTGTACATTTCAGACGGGAATTGGTTTTCCAAAATCCAGTGTCACACAGTCTCTTCTGGCTGTCCTGGGATGCCGCCGCTCTGACATTCTCTTCCTGTCGGTCCCCAGTTGTGTGTGAAGACCCTGTTCCGCTGCTCTTGCTTCATGGCTTGGGAATTGCCCAAAAGAGCTTACAGCCGGAAGCCCTGGGACAGCCAGCAGCAGGCGGTGACCAAAATTTGCAACTACCTTGTGAGTGCTTCCGACACTGCCGTGGTTCCTTATGAGTATGTTGGACGTGGGCAACTCTTTCCTTTTTTCTTCTTTCTTTATACACCCTGACTGGCAATCCCACTACCACCCATGAACCCATGAGCTGCTGGCTCCTGCATGTCCATCTCCGTCTCGGGCTCGTCTCCTCACTGCTAGTGTTCGCTTCCCAGTGGCCCGCCAGACACCTCCGGCTCAGCCCCATGCACTGCCGGCTCAGCATCTCTCTCCTGGCCTCCCCATGTCACTTCTGCTCGGTCCCTCTAGATCCCTAGAATCATCCCTAGATGACTCCGTCATCTCCCTCACCTTCCATGTTGGATCAATCTTAAGCAACCAGAATACCAGAGTCTGTTTTTCCCTCCCCACCCCCAGTCCTTGCCTTTAGTTCAGTCGTGGATGTCCCTCGGCTGGGACAGGGGTCCCACCCAGTGGGTCTCCCAGCCTTTAACCGCATCTTCTGCAATCCATTCCCCACCCAGGCCAGCAGGGTGTTCTGGTTCAAACACGCGTGTGTTTATCTTCTGGAAGGCCTCCTTGGCTCCTTTTTTACTGTGTGTGACACAGCTCTGTGAGACATGACCTACAGGGGAGAAGCGAGGTTCTCAGATAAGTGTGGGAAATACCCCATTGCCATCTTCCTCTCGGGTACGTGCAATGCCATCAGCTCATTAAAGCCTTGGAGATGTTCTGTGCTAAGGACGTTTCACGGTTGTTGAATGTATGGTTCCCAGGCCTATGTGACTGCAGAGCCCCTTTCCAGGTAACACTGAGAACACCCTAAGGTAGAAAAGGGCTGCATTGCAGGCCGCCGCCCAGTTCCTCTGCATGACAACCAGGAAGCTTTGCCACCCAGTCCCCTTTACCTTCCCTGTTGTCAGGGCAGGGCTCCCCGATGCAGACTCTAAGACAGAGATGAGCTTGCGGGGGCTTATGAGGGAGGACCCTTGGGGCCAACGCCTGTGGGAGGGAAGGCAAAGAGCAGGAGTGACAGAGAAGTCAAGCCTCAGTGAGCTCAGGGGAGGCCTCAGCCAACACGATGTGAGATTCTCCGATTGGGGCTGCGGGTAAAGTCTTTGCGCCTCTGTGTGCACCTGTCTCTGGATGCCAGCCACCCTGGGAAAGGACGTGACCTCGGATCAGCGGTTTTCTCCAGCCAAGGCAATGCCCAAAGCTGGGGGAATACATTTTTCATACCAAAGGGAGAGCTGGACAGAACATGCCAGTATCCCCCATACCAACCCAACAACTATATACAGGTTGTTACTGGAATCGAGACAAGGGCTCCACACCACCATTATCCATGATGCTCAGAATCCGCTCAATCCAGTGTCTAATGTTATCACCATCATTGTACAGAGAGAGAAAAAGGCCTGGAGGAAGTGTTTGGCCAGGGCACTAATCCAGATCCCTGCCGTGACCAGTGACTAGGCAGATACTGATCACGAGTGACGGGCTGTGGTAGGGCCTGCGGCAGCCTGGAGGCCTGGCCCTGCTGAAAGCCTGCAGGGGGCTCCAGCTCACTGTGCAGCCACTCTTGCCAGGCCTCTGGTTTCACAAGAAAAGCCAGAAACCCCGGTTTTTATAAGACATTAATTAGCAGTCTATTTAGCTTGCTTAAAACCCTGTGCTGGTCACTGCTTGGCTGGCCAGTGTGGCCTGTGGGCTGCCAGCTTGTGACCTCTGTGTTAGACCCCGCAGGATTCCCAGTCTCTTCTTTGGGCTCTGAGTGTCAACAGCTTTGCTCATGTGAAGGTCAAGTTCCAGTCTTAGCTTTAGAAGGGGTGGTAACTAATTCATCAATTCATTCATTCGCGCACTCATTCATCCATCTGCCCTACACTTTCATGGTACCTGTACCGTGCCAAGTCCTGCCCAGGGTGCTGAGCTGAGTGAGATGGCTCCTTCTCCTTGGGGAGCTCAGAACCCAGGGGAACAACAGGTATAAATAACTACAGCACAAGGTCAAAGTGCAGTGACAAAGTGTGCAAGATGCTGCAGAAGCATCAAGGGTGGTGGGATTGGCTCTGCCTGAGGGTTGAGGAAGCTTCAGGCAGGAGTTGGCTTCTGGGCTGAGCCTCAAGGCACAAGAGGGAATTCATCCGATGAGGAAGAGAGGGAAGGCGCTGAGATCAGGAGCCATTGCGTGTACTAGGCACAGACCTGGGGAGAGCTGGCGACGTCCTGGGCCTGGAGCACAAGGTGCAGGTGGGTGGAGGCAGTGGTGGAGGTTCAGGCCGAGGAGGAACTTGGTCATGAAGGCTTTGCACGCCAGGCCCAGGAGTTTATTCCCTGATGTGCGGATTGTCCACAGAGGAGTGACAATCCTCTCATCTCCCGCAACAGCCTCTTAGCAGGATGCCTGCCCCCAGTTCCCACTGGATCAGACTCATCCTGAACACCACTGTCAGACTATTTTGCCCCCAACACTGATTTGCTTTTGCCCTATCGGGCAGGAAAGCTGGCTGCCTATTTTCTAATGCAGGGGTCCTCAAACTACGGCCCGCGGGCCACATGCGGCCCGCCAAAAACATTTGTTTTTTTACTTCAAAATAAGATATGTGCAGTGTGCATAGGAATTTGTTCATAGTTTTTTTAACTATCGATCAAGTCCCTCGCTTGCCGCCACAGTGCGTTCTCACCTCCAGCTGGAACTGCATTTTAGAACGTCCCTCCCAGCTGCAGCAGGGGGGCGGGGCGGGGCGGGAGAGGAGGAACTGAAGTGAGTGTGTAATCAGCTAAGAGAAGGTGAGGCTGGCCTCTGGGGGCGCAGGCAGGGATATCTGGAGGCAAAGGGCCGGGCTTGGCTGTCCTACTCCTGGCACCGGGAGGAGTGGATGAGTCCGGGTGAGGGCTCAGTGCTCTCGGGGTTCTCTTGTCCAGGTGAACACCCACCGAGACAGCGCCCTCACATTTCTCAGCCAGAGCCTGGAGTACTCCAACAATTCCCGGGCCTCCCTCCGCAAGTCCTCGGTCCTGCTCATAGGTAACCTGCCCTGGCTCCTGGGGCTCTGCACAGTCTCCAGCCCTTTTGGTGCCGCGCCTGGGTGGGTGCTCCCCTTGGGTTTGAGGGTCGGCCAGCAGATAGTCATGGTGCAAATTAGAGAAGTCTTCTCTCCTCTGAGATCAGTGCCTGGGACGTGGCCACTGGCTGCCTGCAGCCTGGGGTCCTTGTGCAGGCGCAGCCTTGGCTCCTGTGCCCGGCAGAGCTGCTGCTTCCCGCCTGGGTCGAGGCCCAGCAGGAGGGCCACGCGGCACAGTGGGACAGGGAAGTCAAATCTCAGCTCCTTGGTCCCCTTTCTGAGCTCTGTTTTCTCATCTGTGAGTTGGGGATCAACTGCTGTTTCAGATGGAGGAGACTTTTTCTTTTTAATGTGAAGCCTGGCTCGTCAAGGTGCTCACTCAACGTTAGTCACCGTCATTCCCCTATTTCCCACTTTCCCGACCTCTGCCTGTGTGGGGAACACAAATAGCAGATCCCCCTCACCCAGAACCCCCCACAGGACCCTGCTGCTGACACGCTGGGCATGTCTCCTCCCAGCTACTCCCCTGCCCCGCCCCCAAATAACCACACACCCTTCGCCAAGGACCAGGACCTGCTGCTGAGAGGCTTGGAGAGGATGCTGCTCCCACCTCACACCTTGTTAAGCGATGTTTCCTTGAGTTCCCTCAATTCATTCGCAGTTTTGCATCCATCCACTCAGCCACGAATCCCTTCAGCGGTTTGTTTAGCAAATGGTGGCTGACCCTCTGTGTCAGTCACTAGGCTTAGGTGCAGTGGTTCTCAACCTTCTGGCCCTTTAAATACAGTTCCTCATGGTGTGACCCAACCATAAAATTATTTTCGTTGCTACTTCATAACTGTAATGTTGCTACTGTTATGAATCGTAATGTAAATATCTGATATGCAGGATGGTCTTAGGCGACCCCTGTGAAAGGGTCGTTCGACCGCCAAAGGGGTCGCGACCCACAGGTTGAGAGCCGCTGGTTTAGAGCAACAAAGAAGCCTCAGGAGGTGATGCTGATGGCGGAGGGCTGGTAAAGTAATCGGCGATGGGATAGAGGAGCCATGCCTAAACCTTGTTCCAAATTGATCACTTTTTAAAATGTTGGTGTCTAACTCCTGGGCGTCTCCTCTGCGCCAGGGCCTGTGCTGGGAACAAGGCCGCGAGCAGCACCCGCCTCTGCCCGCAGACGGTCCCCAGCGGGGGCAGCGATCCCAGCCTCGGGGTGACCACTCTTTGGGGAGACTCTGAAGGAAGTCATGAGCACTTTCTCTAGGAAGAGGCCTACACCCACACAGTTGTGCACGTGCTTTAGGATCCTCAGAAACTGCCCCAGCCCTCCCCTCCCCCGTGGACTGAAGAGACCCTTGGTCTGGCGGGAGATTCGTAAGTCACATGTGAAGTACAACACGGTATCTACAGAGAGAGACACTCAGGGGCTGTGGGAACCCCGAGAGGTGCTTCACTTGCTTGTGGGCAGGGGCAGGAAGGACTTCCTAGGGGAGCAACTCTGTTGAGCTGAATATTCGAGGACAAACAGGAATTAGCCAGAAGGACCATGGAGTCACCGAGACGCAGGACAGCACCCCATCCCAGGGGAGCTTGTCGTGTAGGAAGGGCCTTCCGACAGGTACAGGCCATGCAAGGACCTGCTGGCACTTGGGGAGCCAGGCATGCAGCTGGGGGCAGGGGAGAGGGAACACCATGGCTGAGGAGCTGGGTCTCCGCCCCTCCAAGGGCCCTGCCAACTGCCTGCCTGGAAGGGATGCCAGGCACTCAGTGTCTTTCATGTTATTGTGGCTCAAACGCCCTAAACAAGGGGCAGCTGAGGCAGCACCTCCCCGAGTCTCAGGTGAGGACAGTAAGGGCCAGTCTGACTCAGGGGCCACCTGGGGCTGCCCGTCAGGATTGGCTACAGCCCACATCCTGCCCCTGTCCCGATGCCATCCCTGCCCTGAAAGCCTCCCACCTCTCCCAGGGCCCCTCTTGGGGACTCTGTCCAGGGTCAAAATGAAGTTCGCCTTTGTGTCCTCATTTGTGGGGCTGGAGAAGAGTGGGAAGAGCTTCTCTGAGGAGGTCTGGTCCGAGGGAGGGACGGGGGCGGGTCCGAGTCAGGAGGTGGGTTGCTCACCTCTTGCTTGCATTATACTAAGGGTCCCTGGTCCCCTTCATGGATAGCATAATGACGGAAGATCGTCTGAATGAAGTTAAAGCCGGTAAGTGGTGCCCTGTGTTGGTGAGATTTCAGGGGCCAGTGAGAGAATGAGGAGGCTCACAATAGGTCAGAGGAAAGGGAAGGGATTGTCCCAAGGCAAGAGTCCTCAGCTCAGTTCAGCTGTGTTAGTCTTCATGCACGCGAGTACATGTTAGGTACCATGGAGTCCCCAAGACATCACCCCAGCCTAGGGGAGCTTATTGTCTAGGAACCCAGGCTCAGAAAGCCAGGCCAAAAACCACTTAGTTCAGAGCAAGCAGCTCAGACTCTTAAGGGCGGAAGATTACTTTTGTAACTGGGAAAGCCGATGGGAGAGCTGAAGGGAGGCTGGGGCAGTCCAAGAAGGCTTCCTGGAGGAGGCACGTTTTGCTTCAGCCTTTGAAGTGTAAACAATTTGAGGAGCTGGGAGACACGTAAGATGAGGGAGGCTGAGCCGAAAGTACCTAAGCCAAGGCGTGGAAGTGAGAAGGAAGGATGAGGTGTGAGACCCGTGTGGGGACCTCTTAACAAGTGGCCTCTTTCCTTCCCGTGACTCAGCTCTGGAAAACTTGAGACACGACCCGGAAGCATCGGTGTGCATCTGTGCGGCCCAAGCCCAGGACAGCATCCTGACCAGCTGCTGGCGGACCTCCTGGCCAATGACACATGCAGACCTGTGGGTGTGCGACCCGGCCGCCACGCACCGCTGGGGCTCCAGCTGCGAGAACCTGCCCACGTCCCACCAGCCACGCTCCTGGATCATGCAGGCCCTGGGCTCCTGGACGACGTCCTTGAGGCAGTGATGTCCCTGAGCCCCAGCCCTCCGCAGGGCAGGCCCTGGCCGCAGCCATGCTCACTATAAATGCCACGTGGCTGACCTCTCGCCCCCGAGTGTTTCCTTGTGGGAGATGCCCCGGGGTCTGGAGCAGTCATCGCTCCGCACAACAAATCTGTGAGAGGAGCCTGGCCTTCCTCGTTGACTCGGTCAACATTTACGGACTCGCGTAGGCTGTTTGTCCACACGTGATAAGTGGGGAGGCTGAGGCTCAGAGAGGTGAAGCGGCTTCCTCAAGGCCACACAGTAAGTGTGCTGGGCGTTTCAGTTCCCCTTCCCCCCACTGGGAGAGCTTAAGTACGAAAGGAGATGAGGACATGGGTATTTTTTTTTTTTAAATGGGGGACATCTGTAAGACTTTATTTTTATTTATTTTTTAAAAATAAATATATATTTTATTGATTTTTTACAGAGAGGAAGGGAGAGCGATAGAGAGTTAGAAACATCGATGAGAGAGAAACATCGATCAGCTGCCTCCTGCACACTCCCCACTGGGGATGTGCCCGCAACCAAGGTACATGCCCTTGACTGGAATTGAACCCGGGACCCTTGAGTCCGCAGGCCGACACTCTATCCACTGAGCCAAACCGGTCAGGGCGATGTGGGTATTTTTTGAGGGAGGAAAAGAAGAACCTCCTCCCACCTCGAGACGTCATGCACAACCCAGAACCCTAATCCCTGAGGCCCACCCTCGGGCCTTTACCCAGAGCTTGGTCACCATTCACTTGGGCAGCATTTACTAGAACTGAGCAGCTAACCTGGGCCATGCCTGCTCTGGGTACCAGAGATACAGACCCAGCCCGGCCCCGGGGCAGTCTGTGGTCTGATGCGGTGGTTCCCCACAGCAGGGTGATTTTTGAGCCCCGGGGAATATTTGGCAGTCTCTTGAGACATTTTTGGTTTCTACAGTTGGGGAAGGAGATGCTATTGGTATCGTGGGTAGAAGCCAGGGATGCTGCTAAACATCCTCCAATGCACAGGAAAGCCCCCACGGGGAAGAATTATTCATCCCAATTGTCAAAAGTGCTGGGGTTGAGAAGCTTTGGTCTAAGAGACACACAGCCACCCATAGCCCAGCAGGTGGTGAAGGGAAGCGTGGAGCTGTGAGGTCCAGAGGAGATATATAGACCAGCTTGGGGTTGGGGTGTCAGGGAAGGCTTCCCAGAGACAACGCCCCCTCCAGGGGGTTTGGAAAGATGCCCGTATGGTAGATGTGTATGGAGAGCAGGGCACCTAGGGCCAAGGCCCAAGGGCAGATACATAGGTGCAGCAAAACCCAGTGGGGGGAAGAGGTGGGCAAGGATTGGTCACTGTGGCCTTGGAGGCTGTGCTAAGGAGGGAGACCTCACCAGGAGAGCAGTGGGAAGGCATGATGGGGAGGCGAGAGGCAAGCAGGGGAGACACGGAGATTTCTGCTTTGGAAAGCTCCCTTCTCCTGGGGATACAGGCTTCCCCAGGCACTGCTGGTGGGAGGGAGATGAGAGCAGCCACTCAGAACAGGAATCTGTCTGTCTGCAGCCACGTTGTTTATACCCAGGACCCTGAATGTGCCGTGCTTAGCATGGCCGGGGTGAACCTGAGGGGGGCAGGTGGTGAAGGATTAAAGAACACAGACAAGACAATAAAGCTGGTACGAGGTGGGAAACTGGTCTTGGAGGGAGAAACAGTGCCACAGCCTGCAAGCCGACTCTTTGTTTTATAGCCAGATTCCAGGAGGCAAAGTAATGGCGTGGTCAACATGTTTACAACGTTCTCGCGGGTTTCAAGTCTACTTAATTACATGCACCTAAACTCTATCAAGCTTTGTTTTGGCAGCACTTGCTGCACTTCCTGCAGCCCACATCACTCAGCCACCTGGGACCACAGGTTCGGACCATAAGGTCAAGCTTACAATTACAGTGGGGCCTTGACTTACGAGTGTCCCGACTAACGAGTTTTTTTAGATACCGGCTGTCTCTCGGCAGATTTTTTTGCATTGAGTTGATAGAGTAATTTGAGTTAACGAGCTCCTTAACGAGCTTGGTCTCCGATTAAACTCGTAAGTCAAGGCCCCACTGTATAGCCTTTGGCTATAATTGTGCTGGGAGGGCTTTGCCCTCCAAGCTGGGACCTGCATGTGGCTTTGCCACAAAAGGACTGTGCCCTCTCATTAGTCTGAGGCTTGAACCTGTCCAAACGCTGTAGCCGCTCTCCACACCTGAAATTCTATGTGGGCACACATCTCAGGGAACTCCCCCACAGGTCCGTAAGGAGCGATGGGTGAGGGAGATGCTCACTGTGCTCTCTGTGGTGCCTGTGAGAGGAGGACCTGGCCCTCCATCCTCAGGGAGTGAATGGGCGCCATGGAGTCGAGTCCCACAAAGCAGAGGTGGTGGGGGTACCATGGGCAGGACCTAAAACCCAGTGCTGAGTGGAAAAAGCATATTAAAAAGGTATGCGCAAGAACACATACAAGCTGAAAATACACATTATAACACATTAGAGTGGTGGGAGGGGCTGAGGCAGGCTCTGGGGTATAAAAGGGAATAATGGGAAAAAGGAGTGGCAGAAAGCTCACACTAAGTGGAACGAAAGGGCGGGCAGCGGGTCGGGGGAGTTGTGTGGACAAGAGCACAGGCAGGGAGACCTGGCCAGAGGCTTCGGAGAAGAAGGTAGGGGTGCTGGGCTGCAGTGTGGGATGAGGAGGGTGAGCAGACCTGTGTGAGATTCAGGATAGAGAATTTTCAGAAGCTGGCGGTTGATGAAGGAAGGGGAGGAAGAGCAAGGTACTCAGGTTTCTGGGTGGATGACTGGGTCAGCGGTGTCCCCGCACTGAGTGATCCCTCATAGCAGGAGCAGGTTTGGGGAGGGGTGAGTTCAGGCTGGACCTGGTGAGCTTGATGGGCTTGTGTGCCATGCTAGTGGAGACATCCACCAGGTGGCTGGCTGCACAGGGGTGGAGCTCAGCAGAGGATCTGAGATGGAAACAGACCTGAGATTCATCTTTGTACAGGGGTGAGATCCCCGGGGTGAGTGTAGAGTGGGAAGAGACATAAGCCCGTGGAGCACCTACATTTAAGCTCCTGCTGCGGATAAGGAACCCATGAAGTTGACCACACAATCACCCTCCAATAAATGGTAGGCCAAGGCCAAGACCATCAGGATTCTGGACTAGAGAGAGAGCAGGAAGTGGGATGGTCCTTTTCCATTGCTAAGAGTGTTCACAAGCATGGCCTCCTTGGCGTTTCATAGCAGCCATACAGAGTTATGGGGAGGGTAGACTGGCTTCATGGTCTATCGTCAACATGTGAGGACAGGGCTCAGACGGTGGGCCTTGTCCAAGGTCACAAAAGGGAATCAAAGTGTGAGTCCCAGAGGTCTCCTACCCATGCCTCAGCCCTTTCCTCCCAGAGACACTGCTGCTTTCATTGGCTAGAACTCAGGTTTGGGTGCGGCCTTGACAAATGACAGCGACCATATTCCAGATGTAGGTGGCCCCGGAGCTCAACAGAAGCTACCAGGCTCAGTTACTGGCCGAAGCCCCCAAGTGGTCTTGAGTTGGAAGGGTCACAGAGCACTGCGAGAGTCACTTCCCTTCCCTGAGTCTCCCTTATCATCACCATGGTTTTATAGGAATCAAATTTAAAAGTGGAAGCAAAGGACTTAGTAGGCTCTGCACTCAAGAAGGGAAAAGATCATGAAAAGGTCAAGTATGGGAACCGTAGTTAGGGAGCAGGCTGGAGGAGGACGTGTGGAAAAGCTTTGGGTTTGGAGGACAGGGACCAGGTGATCTGCATGTGGGCAAGTTAGAAGGAAAGACACAGTCCTGGCCCTGGAAGGCTCATGGCCCTCCATGTGTCCTCCTTAGCCCTGCTGTTTCTTGCATCCTCCACTGCTGGTTTTAGATCTCTTCTCTCCCCAGGTCTCTAACAGTCCCCTTCTCAATCTCTTCACCCAGCCTCCCCTATCAATCTTTCACCTGGCAACCCAGGCCTTCCTGAGACAAACTTGCCCTTGGCTCACTATCCTCTGCAGAATGAAGGCCAATGTGCAACCCGGCCCTCTGGCCCTCTCCCACCTTGCTGGCCTTACGCTCCCAGTATCCAATATGCTGGCTGCTGTATACCTCCATTCCTCCCTGCATGTGGGCTCCCACGGCCTGAAATGCCCAGCTTTCCCTCCAACCTCCACCCATCTGCAGAAACCTTCCTCATCTCTGCATCACCTCCTCTGTGAAACCTCCCCGAATCTCCCTGTTGCCAGAAGGGACTGGCCCTGAGTGGGTCTGCCTCGGGCTG